TTTATGTTGTGCTGAGGATCGAACCCAGTGCTCCACGCATGCCAGGTGAGCACGCTACCACTTGAGTCACATCCCCAGCCCCTGGATAAGACTTTGACTGAGATATGCTAAAAGAAAAGGTTATGGACAATCTCATAAATTATGGTAATGCATTTGGATTTTATTCTAAATGCATAGAGTAACTAAATAGTCTGGTATTGCACATGACTCCTGCTAGTAAAACCTTAACTTAGTCCAACTGTCCCTATATATCCGGGTAGAACACCATATTGGTGACTTCTTTAGGAGACTCTTTAGATACTGACATAGGACAAATTATTTGCTATTGTACTTATTTCTGCATTAGTCTTTGACAATCTTGTAGAACATTTATCGTTGTTGAGTCTACCCTCAGGTGGCTTCCCATCACTCCTTACAGCAGTAGGCAGGGCGAACTATTTATCCATTGTCCCCTCACTCCTTCTTCCTTATTGATATAGCCCCATTTTATTTATTTTTTTTTTTATTAGTTGTTCAAAACATTACAAAGCTCTTGACATATCATATTTCATACATTTGATTCAAGCAGATTATGAACTCCCATTTTTACCCCGTATACATATTGCAGATTCACATCGGATGTTGATGTTCCCTACTAGAGGACATTTCCTCACCTCTCTGAAGCTTCTCAAGTATATCTACATGACAGTGTGGCCAGTGAGCGGGAAACTGCCATGCTATGTGTGACTTCCAGAAAGGTTCCTCAAAGTGAACTCTTTGCCCTGATCACCACCGGATCCACTCCTGAAAGAAGGACATGAAAGCCAGAACTCCTTAGGCCATGAGGTAACCTCTGGAATAGAAGCTTCATAATAAGTGTGGTAGAATAGAAGGAGTGGGGTCTCTGATGCTCACAGAGACAACAGCCCACTTTCAGGATTCTCACGTGCAGGAAGAACATGCCCTTGTATTTTAAGCTGTGCATGTCAGGGGGGTTTCTGTTGTCTGTAGCCATTTCTAACCTCTTGCATGCCCTGACTCTGTGCCTGGCCCTCTAGCAAACTCTGTATGGGGATCACTTTATATTCCTTGAGCATATTTCATGGAGTCTGGACTCTTATTAGCAAGTTTTATAAATGAGACCTCAACATGGGAAGTCTTCTGCCCAAGGTCATTCAACCAGATAGGGCAATGTTCTGACCTCTAAGTCAGTGATTCTCAGTTCTGTCTGCACATCAGAATTTCCCAGAGCTTTTGATAAATGTCCAGGCCATGCTAAAATTAGTTACTTGGAAGTGTGAAGAACAGGAAAATATATGCCTAGTCTCCGAGAAGATCCCCCAAGATACTTACAAAGGGGAAAAAGAGGCTTTGCAGTGAAGTTCGGCAGACACCCCCTTAACCTAGAGCTCTGACCTGACACATGACTAAACCAGTCAGGATCACTCTGGGTGAACTGGGCTGGCACAAAATAATCATACAGAGAAATACCTTTGGGTTCTGTGATGGCTCCTCTGACCCAGCTCCCGCAAAGGAGGCAAGACAGGCAAGAAAGACGAAGAGCATGCCTCGAACCTGGTTTTATTGGGGAGAAGCCATTCAAATGAGGCAAGGGGTAGGATTACAAAGGAACAGATGAGTGTAACTCAACCCCACTGGGTGACATCTACTCCTGGAGCCACATCTCATTGAGTGGAGGTAAATAAAGCCCAAGCTATTGCAGGGCACAATAATTGTTCAGTATCTCTTACTCAGGACTTAAGGGCATGTATTTCCAGAGCGGCTCCTGACGGAGCTCCATATGACCACCAGTCCTGGGTGACAGGATGCTCTAAGAACACAGCTCTCTTGTACAGTGTTCCTGTCAAATATGTAGGACCTGAGTCTACCTATGAGGAAACATTGGAAAAACAGATGAAAGTCATAGAATAGTCCTGAAATGCATCCTCATATGTATATGGAAAGAGATATTTCACACAGATGAAGAAAATATTGTCTTTTCAACACAATTTCTCAAGACAAACCACAGAGGCCACAAAGAAGTGGCACAATTTTTAAGTACTGAAAGGGAAAACTTTCAATCCCAAATCCTATATCCAGCAAGAATATTCTTCCAGAATGAAGCAGACCAACACTATTTATTAGGGAAATGCAAATCAAAATCACAATGAATTACCACTTTACACCTATAAAAATGGCCTTAATCAAAATTTGCCATATGTGGTGGTGACTCAGTGATACCAAGGCAAGAGGATTGCAGGTTCAAGGCTATTCTTAGCAACACAGTGAGACCCTGTCTCATAAACAAACAAAACCAGAAAATAAGTGATGGCAAGGATGTGGAAATTTGAAACTTTGTGCATTGTGACTAAGGATCTAAGAAGCTGCTGTGGGAAATAGTATGGAGGTTCTAAATAAATCAAATGTGATCACCATATGATGCAGCTCCAGATAATATTATAAGAAATCATTTCACAAATCTTCAAATCATTTAACAGAGGACATTTTAAAACTTAAAACTAGCTGGGCACTGTGCCACATGCCTGTTATCCAAGCAACTTGGGAGGCTGAGACAGGCAGGAGGATCTCAAGTTCAAAGCCAGCCTCAGAAACCTAGCAAAACCCTGTCTTAAAACAGAAAATTTTAAAAACAGTCTGGAGATCTAACTCAGTGGTTAAGGGCCCCTGGATTTAATCCCTGGTACAAAAACAACAAAAAGCAAAAAACAACAAAATAAAACCAAACAAAAAGACCATAAAAACTTAAAGCTATGGACATATGAGCTGGGATCATAGCTCAGTGGTAGGGCACATGCCTAGCATGTGTGAGGCACTGGGTTTTATTCTTTGCACTGCATATAAATAAATAAATATCTATCAAAAATTAAAAAATATTTTTTAAAACTATGTATAAAAATGGAGGCATGTTCAATGATTGCTATAGAAATGCTTTTCAACTTGTTTATATAACCTATCCTGGGTGTTCTCTTAGAGAAGAAAACATCCTTGGTCATCTCTGAGCTCACAGTCCATTAGTACACCACACTTTCTAGTTCTTCACGTTAAAGATCTATAAAATATGAATATATGTGTACTATGTATAAAAATAAAATGGAGGGGCTGGGGCTTTAGCTCAGTAGTGGAGTACTTGCCTAGCACATGTGAGGCACTGGGTTTGATCCTCAGCACTGTAATATGAAATAAAGCCATTCCTGTCCATCTACAACTACAAATAAAATAAAATAAAATGGACAAGGGTAAGGATAGAAGGGTAGATGGACATGATCAATGCACCATGTATACATGTATGGAAACATAACTGTAAACCCCATTAATTACAATTAATGTTATCATAAAAATAAAATAGACATATGATACAATGTTCTACTGTAAAGAGAACATGGTTATTTCATGATATAATCAGTGAGTGAGGAGGCAGGGTGGTACATACAAGGATGCCATGAATACTTTTATATTTCTGTGGCAGCTTGAAATGTTTGGGAAAGCAGAAACAAGGGTGAGCAGATTATCTAAGAGAATGAAACTCAATATTCCCAAGACCCTTGGTGGACTGAGGGTAGAATATTCAGTTAGACCATCCTCTCCATTTGCTACTCACCTAGGAAACCAAGGCGGGTTTGCATCACTGCTTGAGAGCACAATTCTTTTGTTACCATTGTTAGCATATAACAGTATTTATTAACCTACAAACAGACTTACTTCAGATGAGATAATCCCTAGGTCCTCATGGGTCAGAACAGAAGTTCTATAACCTTACCTACCTGTTCCAGTTATTTCACTCTAATGTTTATTCTGAATGTACTCTAAACCAACCAAACAAAAAGCAAAGAAACTAAGCATAAATATTATTATTCAAGGCTAAATTTCTTGAAGTTCTGTTCAGACAAGGCATGGTATATTTTACTATTATGCCCCTTTCAAGTTTAAATTTTTTTTTTATCATATCCTTTCCTTCATCACTCAATTCTTTTTTTGCTCTGAAAGTATCTCCAAGTTCAGGACTGACAAGTATGATTATATATACTATCAACTGGTAATTGCTATCCCTTTCTACAGTCCAGAGGGCTACTTAATGTTTTCAGCATCAGATGCTTGAACCATGAACTGTTTTCCTGGTTACTCAATATTTTCACAATGAGCAAAAAGGCTTTTAAAATTTTCTGAGTTTTATTAGACTTCATATAGTAAATGCTAGATATAAGAAATTCTTCCCAATAAGGATCTAACATGGTTCAAATTGCTGTTAAGCTTAACGTGCTCATGGATAAGATGCTATAAATATTAACTGTCTTAGCATATTTCTGATTCTCAAATATAAACACCTTTCCAGGAGCTGGGGTTGTGGCTCAGTAGTACAGAGCTTGCCTAGCATGCACAAGGCCCTGGGTTTGATCCTCAACACCCCATAAAAATAAATAAACAAAATAAAGGTATTGTGTCTAACCAAAAAATAAATATTAAAAAAATAAAGGTTATTTTATATGAAAAATATTTTTTCCTAATTCTCTCTACTGTAATTACTAAACTCTCAAATTCTACTCATGGTGTTTCTCTTCTCAACATCCCTTTCTCTTGTGTGAATTCTTAAGCTAGGGCTAAAGTGTCCCTAAAACCATGACACACAAAACAAAATAATTCAAGTTACAGGTGAATACTTTGTGCAAGGGTTGAACAACAGATAAAGGCCTTTCTATAATTACTGCATTCACACAGATAAAACAGCCTCTCAAGTATTAAATCATAAGGTTTCCTTTTAGCAAGAATTCCCCAGTTTGAATGACTGCTAAAGACCTTTCTACATTGACTGTTGAGAATGTCTGAAATGTTTAGCAATATCTCCCTTAACTGAAAAGACTTAAGATATTCTCCTGGACAGAAAAATTCCAGTCTTCAGTACAAAATCAACAGAAATACATGAATATACACCAAAGACGTAAACAAGGATATTTATGGCAGTATTTTATTATAATAGAAAATTATAAAAATACAAATATCTGCCAACAGGATAAATAACAGTATATTATTAAAATGATATAGTATACAAAATAAAAAAGAACATACTACTACCACATGGAATATTATATAGATCTTGAAAATGTTCAGGGAAACAAAGAAGGACATGAATTCACGATGTCTAAGTAAAACATATATAAATAAAGTTTGAAAGCATGCATAAACTAGTTTAATGAGGTTATAAGCCAGGGAAATGGTAATCATTTTTTTTTTGTAGAAGTGGTAATATTTGGGGAAGTAAAAACTACTTTTTATTACATAGACTGCAAAAATAATTAGAATTCATATTTTTAAAAAATTTATGGTGATCAGTGCTGATACCATTTTGTAATTTGCTTCTACATGTACTATATTTTTAAATAACTGAAAATTAGTGTCAGAGCTACAACCTAATAATAATGATCATACACATTTCATATGCAATAAACAGTAGTTTTGTGGTGTGGAACTTTAAAAACTTTGTGATTAAAATTACATCAACATGTTTAAGCATGCTTTTGTTTTTAAAACTAAAGGTTTACATTAACTTGGAAAGACTTCACAAAGAAACCACTTTATTTATTGCATTTCCATGTTTTCTCCCTTATGTGTTCTCTGATGGACAATGAGGCTTCTCCTATAACTGAAGGACTTACCACACTCATTACAAACATAGGGTTTTTCACCTGTGTGAGTTCTTTGATGTACAATAAGATTCGTCTTCTGGCGGAAGTACTTTCCACATTCATTACATTTATATGGTTTTTCTCCCGTGTGAGTTCTTTGATGATGAATGAGATAAGACTTCCTGCTAAAGGCTTTCCCGCACTGAGGACATTCATAGGATTTCTGCCCTGTGTGTATTTTTTGATGTACAGTCAGAGTTGCTTTCTGGCGAAAGGATTTCCCACATTCATTACAGATATAGGGTTTCTCTCCTGTATGAATTCTCTGGTGTAGATTGAGATTTGTCTTCTGACTGAATGATTTCCCACATTCATTACATTCATATGGTTTTTCTCCTGTGTGAGTTCTATGATGATCAATGAGGTATGATTTCATTCTAAAGGCTTTCCCACAGTGAGGACATTCATAAGATTTCTCCCCTGTATGTGTTCTTTGATGTGCTACTAGGGTTGTCTTCTGGCGGAAAGACTTTCCACATTCATTACAAATATAGGGTTTCTCCTCATTGTGAGTTTTCTCATGAAGAGCAAGGGTTGTCTTCTGAGAGAAGGATTTCCCACATTCATTACAAATATAGGGTTTCTCTCCTGTGTGAGTTCTCTGATGTACAGTGAGGTTTGCCTTCTGGTGAAAAGACTTTCCACATTCTTTACAAATATAAGGTTTCTCCCCCGTATGAATTCTCTGATGTAGAGAGAGTGTTACCTTCTGGCGGAAGGACTTTCCACAGTCATTACACTTATATGGTTTCTCTCCTGTGTGAGTTCTCTGATGACGAATGAGGTGTGACTTCAATCTGAAGGCATTTCTACATTGTGGACATTCATATGACTTCTCCCCTGTATGTGTTCTCTGATGATCTGTGAGTGCTGTCTTTAGGCGGAAGGACTTACCACACTCATTACAAACAAAGGGTTTCTCTCCTGTGTGAGTTCTCTGATGATCAATAAGATAGGACTTCCTTCTGAATGCATTCCCACACTGATGGCATTGATAGGGTTTTTCCTCTGTGTGAATTCCCTGATGCAGAATCAATACTGACTTCCTGCAGAAGGATTTCCCACATTCAGTGCATGTATGTTTTTTTTCAATATTGTTTGCTCTTCTCTTTTTATTATATACAGGTAGGGTTTCCCCTCTATACACTCTATTATGTGTGATCAAGCCTCCCTTTTTAAGGAATGATTTCTCACACTCACTGTATCCAAATGACTGTGCTGGAGTTACCATCTTCTGATACTGCATAAGCACATCATTATGACGGAAGGTCCTGTCACTTTGATTATGGGATTTTACTTCAGGAGGAGCTGTTTCTTGCCTATTATTAAGTAGTGATCTCCCAAATCCATTGTACTCATTAATTCTCTTTCTTGAAGGACTTAGGTTACTGATGATTAATCCTGAAACATTTTCCAAAGTCTTCCCATGAGTGTCATAGTCAGGAGGTAGATTTTTTGAATCAACAGGTTTTTTTATTAGATTAACTGTCTTTTCATATATACTGTTCTCCTTGACAAGTCTTTTGTGGTTAATGCACACAACTGATCTAGAATACTTATCTTGGTGTTCCTTGAATTTCATTAAAATGTCTTCAGCTTTCCAGTTTTCTTCTAAAAAAAATTAATAACAACTTGTGAATCTTCACACAGTTGCTAGGGAAAGAGTCTACTGGGGTCTAATGTATTAGGAAATGAGATAGTAGAAAAAACCCAGGACAAATTACTCTCTGCCTGGGGATGGGAAGAAAAGAGAAGAAACATAGAATCTAAATAAAAACTCTGCTTCAGTGTGGGAAATAATGGAAAAAAAAATGAGCAATGAACACTATTATTACATTTTACATCCTACAGAACTTCATAGACAAAGTAAAACAGAATGGTGGAAAGAGGGATTGAAAGAAAAATAGATTCACAGACAATTAAGTAAATCTACAAAGGGCATTATACTTTAAGCAAGATGGATAAAAAAGTATTGGTAGAAATGTTTGTTCAGGGAAAATATTAAGAGAAGGATTATTTTTGCAGGACACAGAAGATCACCTATACTTTAATACAGGCAATTAATGAAATAACTCTTGAACACCTAACATGTAATATAATCCAGTAAAGAAGGTTACAAAAGAAGATCATTTATTTGGGAGAAAAGAATTTTTAAGTGTAAACCATATACAATCAGACTTTAAATTATATGATAATATTCAAGAATTGTGTACGTGTATTTTTTTATTTTTGGTACCAGTAATTGAACTCAGGGACACTCAACCGCTGAGCCACATCCCCAGTCCTATTTTGTATTTTATTTACAAATAGGGTCTCACTGAGTTGCGTAGTGTCTTGCTAAGTTGCTGAGGCTGGCTTTGAACTTGCAATCCTCCTGTCTCAGCCTCTCAAGATGCTGGGATTACAGGCGTGCGCCACTGTGCCCAGCTGTGCATGTGTACTTTAGTAAGTAGGTAGCAGAGGAATTCAGATAAGAGGAAGGCAGGTATGATGTGAAGTAATGAAGGAATAGTCAGTCTATGGAAAAGGAACATAACATTTGGAAGGGAGTATATACAACACAATAAAAAGTACCTATGTGATGACAAATCCTTCATTTATGGAAAAACCTCAGAGCCCAGATTAAATGGAAACTGATTTTGTGTGTGTGTGTTGCTAGGGTTTGAACCCAGGGCACTCAATCCCTGAGCTAGAATCCCCAGCCCTTTTTATTTTTGTTTTGAAACAGGGTCTCACTAAGTTGCTAAGGGCCTTGCTAAGTTTGCTGAGACTGGCTTTGAATTTGCAATCATCCTGCCTCAGCCTCCTGAGCTCCTGGGATTATAGGCTGATATATAGGATTATAGGCTGATTTTTAATCTTGGGCTTTATAAAGATTAGCAAGAATTCTGTAAGAAAGAAAAGCTGAAAAGACTATATGAAGGCTTACTGAGGTAGTTTAAGAAAGATGAGAATTTTCTATTTTAACAAGTAATGGTATATCTTGTTAAGAGAGTAACAATATAAATTGAATGAATGAGACAAATGTTATAACAAAGGCAACATACTTAATAATAATGAAGAGATGAAACATGGGTTTTCATTTTGCACATCAGTGAGAAATAAGAGTATAACAGAATGTTAATATATTTCACAGGCTGATAAATAATTGTGAACAGATCCAGAAGAAATGTTGACAGAGACAGAAGATTTGGGCTGATATCATGGCAGGAATAAAGTAACTAAGAAATGATGGGAAAGAATTTAAGAGCTGAGATGTTTAATTTCTAACATGCTGTAACAAAAAAGGTGAGAAGACACTACAATACTTTGGAGGGAGAAACATGCTGAGTAGCAGATGTCAGTGCCAGGTACACAAAATGAACAGCTGAAGTTCTGAGAAAGGAAGGGGTTGTCATGATTTAAAGACAGATCCCTTAAAGATGAATTTGAGAAATGAAGACTAAGAGTACAGTATTCTTTTAAACGTGTGTGACTCTTACATGTCAGGCACTGTTAGGGAGGACAGACACACTGGTGAAGAAAAGAGACCAAGTTGTAAAATAATCACTCAAGAAATTAGGATAAGAATGAGTTAGTGTTGTTTACCCAAACCAAGGGTTGACTTTAGGAATGATGGCCAGTCATATAAAATGAACCACAAAGGTTTAATGGAGAACAACTGTAACTAAGGAAAGCCGGAGCTGAGGCAAGTGAGTTTTAAAATTAACAGATCTGTAGTGAGAATGGGAACTAAGGCTTAGTGCAGGAAAGAAACCTGAGGTATTATGAAGGCGGTGTGTGTGGGGGGGAACGGTAAAGTAACTAAGACAACTTGCAAGAATTTTCTTAACAGATTTATTTATTTATTCAGGTACTGGGATTTGAACCCAAGGATGCTAAATCAGTGAGCCACATCCACAGCCCTTTTCATTTTGAGGCAGGGTCTTGCTAAGTGGCTCAGGGCCTCACTATGTTACTAAGGCTGGCCTTGAACTTGCAATCCTCTTGCCTTAGCTTCCCAAACTCAGTGGGATTACAGTTATGCACCAACACACCCATCTCAAAGAACAGATTTAAGATTGCCTGAAAGAAATCTATCTTAAAAGGCAAGGACTGAAAATACTACAAAGACAGACATAAAGAAAAAAGAGCAAGAAGAAAAAGAGTTTACAGTACACTTTAAGTAGTGGCAAATATCTTTGGTAATACCAAGCAAACTAGAAAAGCCTATTTTGAAAGAGTCTGTTTATTTTTGTTTTTGATGGTTGTTGTTGGTTGTGTTTTTGAGATGAGTCTCACTATGTTGCCTAGGCTAAGCCTCAAACTCCTGGGTTCAAGTGATTCTCCTGCCTCAGGTTCCCATGCAGCTGGGACCACAGGTATGCAGTGCTGAGCTCAGCTCAGAAATCAGTTTTAAGTTTTGTAGGCATAAAGGTCATTTTGAAAGTTAGGAGTATCTTTTTAAAACTTCCCAAGACATTCCAAAAGTACTCCCAACACCTTATTCCTTTAAAATTTACTTTCCACTTTTCATCTGCTTACCTAAGCAGGCATGACCTGCAAATGACATCCAGGGCTCTTCTCCTCGTTCTAATTTGAGGATCATATCAGGTTTGGTGATGTCACATCCTAATAAAGGAAAAGAAGACTTACATTGGTTAAGCTTCAATAATTTTGAAAAATAAAGGTATATGTTCAGTATTTCAAATTAAGATTCTCATTTGTGTAACAGTAAACTGAGAACCTTGCAACAGGCAAGGGAAGACACAATCATCCTTTCAGTGAACCAAAAGGAATTTATTACCTCTTTTCCCTGAAATTCAAGATTACACGCTTTATGTATTTTGAGATGAAATGTATTCTACAAACAGCTTCAAACAGAGTTTTTCTTACCCACAGAGATGAGATGGCAATAGTTTTCCAACATCACATCCATGTATAGAGTCTTCTGAGCAGAATCTAGGTGTTGCCACTCCTCCTGACTGAAATCCACAGTCACATCTTTGAATGACACTGATTCCTATAATGGTTTGAAATTGTGAAGACAACAGATTAACTAAATACTGAAGCCTCCTTGGTCATTGTTTTTGTGGTATTCATATGAAAACTTGTAAAGAAAGACTATCATTTTTCTTGTTTTGTGATTTACACTGTAAGGAAAAAGAACCCACTGAATTTATAAATGCATTGTAAAAACAATTACTGTTAAGCCAGTTTATATCCAAAACCTGTACTGGATTATTGGGAGACCAAAACAAACAAACCATTGTTGCTGCTCAAGAGAAATTATAGCATCAGACAAAGAAAATTTTGTGACTAGGGACTGAAACAGAGCAAACTATAAATGCACATATTTATATGTATTTATAAATATGTTGAAATTAACCCTATTAATAACAAAAGTATTTTTTTTTTAAAAAAAGAATGTATGTGTAAACACGAACCTGCAAGGAGTTACAGGTACAGCATAGAAGTATATGTAATATACAACAAATCACAAAAGTAGAACTACCTTTTTCAGGTTTTACCAAGGAAAAATTTTCCCCCTTAAGGATGAATGTTTTATGCAGGAAGAAAATGGTTCTAAGATACTTTCATTATTCAACAATAAAAAAGAGTAAACTGCTCAGGAAAACATTCTCAGATAGCAGTTATACAATCTGGACACAAATGTAATAAGCAACTGAAGGTAATAAGCAACTAAAGCAAAGTACAGGAAAACCACAAAAGCAGGCAGAAATTGGACAGCATATCCTTGAAGGATAGCAACAACAACGATAGGAGCTGTTAATTTTTTGACCTTTTCCTTGAGAATGCCCAAGACCCTGTAGCTCTCCAGGCAGAAAAGCACCACTTAGTTCCTCCATGATGACAGGACAGAATACAGGGGTGGCCAATGAGCTGGAAATTTAATTCTGCAAGTGGGAGAGCTCTAGAAAGGATGAGACTCAATAACTGAGTATAAACTCTTCTAAATCCCTTGGCTAATAGTTAAATTCTGTATATGTTGGAGATATCAGAGTACTTAGCAAAAATCAGAGAGAAAAAAACAGAAAAGAATCTTGAAAATCAGAAGTGTACCTAGTAATATATTTTAAGACTTCTGCTTTTTTGACTTGCAGTATTCCATAACTTGAATAGATCACAGATCAAGCAGAAGAAAACTGGAGTTTTACTGGATTGAGGTATCAGAGCTTAGGATTAACAAAGCAAAAAGAAGGATAGGGATGAAACCGTAGAAGCCAGAGCACCGCAGAAAGTAAGTCCCATAATGTGAGTATACCTCACTAACTCCTTGAATGAGAGCTAAAGCATATGAACCCAAAAGAGATCCTCAAAACCAGGGTAAAAAGCAGAACTAGAAGCTTAAAAACCAGGAGGACTGGCAGGGTTGTGGCTCAGTGGTAGAACGCTTGCCTTGCATGCGTAAGGCACTGGGTTCAATCCTCAGCACCACATTAAAAAAATAAATAAAACAAAAGATTGTGTCCATCTACAACTAAAAAAAAAAAACAGGAGGATATATCAGTCATTTCACATTGAGGGGAGGGTATAGTTTGACTCCAAGCAAGTTAATTGCCTACTAGAAAACAAAGAAACAAACCAATAGTCCTCAGAAGAACCAATAGATATAATAGGATTCAGATTACTGTATTATTCTGATGTTCAATTTTCTAGCAACAATTACTAGACATGCAAATAAAAAAAAAAGGAGTCGGAAAACATGGCCTATATTGAACAAAATGATAATCATAGAAACAATTTCCTGGACTTCAAAACGGCTGTTATAAATGTGTTCAATGAGAAAATGAGAGGAATCCAAAATATGAACTATAAAAAGAGCAACAAATGAAATAGAGAGGTTGAAAATAGCTTTGTAAATAAATCAACAGAAATAAGCAATCCAAATAAAAAGAAAAAAAGATATGGAATAACAGAATCACAAAGATCTGGAGGTCAATTTCAAAGTAATCCAACACAGATGGAACTGGAGTCTCAGGGGAGAGAAAAAGAAAAAAGCATTCAAAAATTATTGGGGAAACACAAGACATACAAATATAGTAAAAATCTTTAACTTATATATTTAAAATGCTTAATGAAACAAAAGAATAAATAGCAATGAAAATCATACTTCCAGATCCTATCAAATTACTAAAAGCAAAGCTAAAATTAATCCAAAAATTCAATGTTCAGCAAATCTATTAAAAATGAAGGCAATATAAAGACATTTTCAGAGAAAACCTGAGAGAATTCATTACTTGCAGGTCTGCAACATCAAAATTACTAATAAAGGAATTTCTTTTTCTTTTTTTTTTTTTTAGAATTTTCTTTTAATATTTATTTTTTAGTTTTCGGCGGACACAACATCTCTGTTTGTATGTGGTGCTGAGGATCGAACCTGGGCCGCACGCACGCGAGGCGAACACGCTACCGCTTGAGCCACATCCCCAGCCCAGTAAAGGAATTTCTTTAGTGTGGGAGACCAACCTTGCACGTGACTGGCTCACACTCCCCAGCTGGGTGCTGAGGCGCTCAGTCACAGAAATGTGGCAGAGCTTTCCCCACCCTTCTTGGGTTCGAGGGTCAGTGTCTCGTGCATGGGTGTGTCTTGCTACAGCCCCATGGTGAAGCTATGCTCACCTGTTCCTTCGTAATATAACCCCTTGTCCTGTTTAGGATAGAATCTTCCATGGAAGTGCCTTGTGTGTGTCCCCTTCTCTTACTGTGCCCTTGGGTGTGGCCTATCCAGGTGTCAGTCAACCTGCTGACAGTGGACATCATGAAGACAGACTCAGCCCCCTGAAACCTGACCCCTTGCCTCATTTGAATAGCTTCTCCTCAATAAAAGGGGTCAGCGTGTACTCTCGCTCTCTTTCTGCAGACCCTTTAGGTCAGAGGAGCCGTCACAGCGACCCCAAAGTAAAAGGTATTTGTGTTTTTTGTGTGGTTATTTTGTGCAGCCCAGTCAGCCCAGTTCAACTGGAGTAAACCCTGAGTCTTTTAGTCGTGAGAACAGAAACCCGGCACTTTAGGTTGAAGGTAAAAGCACTGGTTAATTATGATGAGAAATGTTGTATATAAAAAACTACCCTTTTCCACTATTTTAGCATGCAAACAGCCACAGACAATATTGTGTTTCCTTTCTGTCCCCTCCCCTCCCCTCCCTTCCTTTTCTTCCTTCCTATTTTTACTTTGAGACTGGGTTTTACTAAGTTGCTGAGGCTGGCCTTGAACTTGTAATCATCCTGCTTCAGGCTTCAGAGTAGTTTACAGGTAAGTGCCACCACACTGAACTTTGATAATGTTATATTTCAGTAAAACTTACTTATGGATGCTGAAATTTGAATTTTATGGTATTTTTGTATGTTGGAAATGTTTTCCTTTTGAATTTTTCCAAACATAAAAACTATTCTTAAGGTCTGGGCATGCAGCTCAGTGATAGAATATTTGTCAATCATGCGTGAGGCCTTGGTTTAATACCCAGCACAGCCAAAAACAAAAAACAAGCAAAAAGCAAACAAACAAAAAAGAAATAAAAAAAAAAATCTCGGGCAGCTGTTTCATTTGTGGGATATACACCCTTTTAAACTAAACATTTGATTATCATGTATTACAAACATAAATATCACTCACATACATGGCATATAAACCAAAAATGTGAGTCAGTAAATAAAACTGAAATGTTGCAACATTGATGTATTTTATCTCAAATAATTTAATATTAACTTAAGTAAACCTTGATAAGTTAAAGATTACATATTGCAATGTTAAAGTAACCATAAAAAATGCAGCTATAACTAAAGTGCCAATAAATGACTTAAAATTAATTACAACAATGGATTTGATACAAAATACAACAAGATGTAGGAATAGATCACCAAAAGCCGATTAGAAGGAACTACATGCATATTACTAAGTGAAAGAAGCCAATCCGAAAAGGTTACCTAACATATGATTCCAATGCTAAGAATTTCCAGAAAAGGCAAATTTTTGGAGTGGTTGCCAGGGGTCAGAAAGGAGAAAGGATAAATATTTCTTCAGGGCTCCTACATACCAGGTACACCCCAACTCAAGATGAATATTTTATTTTAGAAAATTAACATATATATGAATTAAATATTATAGTGAACTTCCTAAATCCTCAAAAGGCATTTGACAATATTGTATACTAACTCTACAATACAACAGTAAAAATGAAAACAAATAGGAATCAATGTATAATTCCTTAATGATTGATATAAAATATATCTATACAAAGTCAATCTTCTTCCAAAGCTAAGTTAAGGAAATTTAAGCCTAATTTTTTATCTTTCCACATTTTTTTTTAGTGGTGCACTATATATAGTTGTACATAATGATGGGATTTGTTGCTATATATTCATACATGCACACAATATAACAATGTGATTTGGCCAGTATCACTACCCAGCTCTCCCCCTCCCCGACTGCCATCTCTTTCTAGTGATCTCCCTTTGATTTTCATGGGATTTCCGCCCACCTACCTTTCTTTTCCTTTTTCCTCTCTAGCTTCCACATATGAGAGAAAACATACAACCCTTGACCTTCTATTTAGCTTATTTCACTTAACATAATAATCTTTAGTTCCATCCATTTTCCTTATGGCTAAATAAAACTCCATTTGTGTATATATACCACATTTTCTTTATGGACACCTAGACTTGTTCCATAGTTTGGCTATTGTGAACTGTGCTGGTATAAACATGAGTGTGCATGTAGCACTACAGTATGGTGACTTTAATTCTTTAGGATAAATACCGAGGAGTGATATGATGGTTCCATGTCTAGTCTTTTAAAGATCCTTCATACTGTTTTCCAACAGTGTAAAAGTATTCCTTTTTCTCCACTCAGGATTAATATTTTAAAATGCCGGGACTGGGGATATGGCTCAAGCAGTAGCGTGCTCATCTGGCATGCGTGCGGCGCTGGGTTCGATCCTCAGCACCACGTAAAAAATAAAGATGTTGTGTCCACCGAAAACTAAAAAATAAATATTAAGAA